CCATGATATTCCTAATAAAAAACAACAATGATGCTGTATTCCAAGTTCTCTTAAACAATTGCTGCAATAAAGTTTATGTGTTAGGTTATTGTTCTTATTCTTAAAATACTCTATGGTCTGCTCATTGGATTACACATTCTTATGTTGGTGGCTTGGCTCAGAGAAAACCATGTACAGGCAGGTGGATTTGATCCGGTTCACATAGATTGGTCCATGAGGCTATCTAACTGCAAAAGAAAAAAAAAAAAGAGTTCATATTAGTGCCAACAAGTATACATTGCTTTGAAGTAATTGGGTTTTGACTTTTGAACCAAAATCCAAGCTAGTTAAACCTAGGCAAGCCTGCCAAAAGTAGAGAAAATCAGGCCATGCTCTTTCAAGGTTTCACCCTAATCAGGGGTGTTCAAATTCTACAAGATATCTTAGTTGCAAAGAAATGTATATTCCCTTTAGTATGGTATCTTTTTCATACCAAGCTACAAAGATGACGCTACATTGCAGCTATCAACCACCATAAGACTAAAATAAATAATTGCCTTACAGCTACCCCTAGATATTACAGCAATGTCATCCCTATTTTTAGCCACAAATATCTGTAAAAGACTTACCTGTAACATTTGCATCCTCTCATTTCTAACATAGTCTTTTCATATTCCAATAAGGTAGTTGTACTTAAGGAAAACTAATCTGAGCTGTTTCTTGGCCAGCAAGATAAGAATAAGTGAGGATTGATTGAGTATGTCTCTTTGTGGCATGAAGAAATGGACCCATTTTGTTATGATCACCTAGGCAAGAGATGTTGCTACATATCACACTAAATCAACCAAATATTACTGGGAACAAAAGCTGAAAAACAGAAGGATGTCACATCTCCTTATGGTATCAACTAGTCATGCCTTTAGTTGGGGGGGAAAATAGGGCCAGGGAGTCCATTTCAAGGACATAACAGATAATAATTCAGCTCTATGAGGGAGTTGAGGCATCAAACCAAACCCAAAAGGCATGTCAGCAATTATTGAAGATTGATTCTTCAACTGAGTTAATTTCCTTGCCAACAAGAATGGGAAGAGCTCAAGGATTCAGAAATGCCTACCAAAGAATTGAATCAAGTTTGAACCACATTCTAGACCTACCTGTATCTAGTAGCATCCGCAAAGAAAGACAGCTCTTGTTAGTTCTTCCCAATGGTAGACCTACCTGCATCCAGTAATCTCAGCAAAGAAAGACAAGTCTAGTTAGTTGAGCAAAACCCTACATTAAGCTCCCAAACTTATTCTAGATTCTCAATTAAGCCCATAAACTTTTATTAAAGCAATAAGCCCCTAAATTTGGTAATATGGATAATTTAACCTTCTTTATTTACGGCAAACTTAATGTCCATTTATGCCTCGTTTGCGTGAATAATGTATTGACATGTCATTGCATACGTAACATATATTAACTTTATCTACACAAGTAAAATACAAATAAATGTTAAGTCTGTTGTAAGGAAAAATGGTTAAATTGCCTAAATTGTTAAGTTTAGGAATTTATTTGATTCAATAAAAGTTTCAAAACTTAATCAAGAATCTTGAGGAAGTTTGGTAGCTTAATGTAAGATTTTGCCTAGTTCTTGCATATACAAAACACAGTTATTACACAATAATGGAAACGGTTTGGAGAAGAGGATTGCAGTATGTGGCTTATGTGCAGTTGATTGGCACCCCACCTTCATCTCCATTATTTTTGAAAAAGAAAATGAGAGAGGGCATGAATGCATGCCATAGATTTGAGGGTACTTCCACTAAGTGGGGACCTGAAGTTAATTTGCTTTGTTAATGCCCATAGAAAATGCTAAAAAGAGCTCTATTTTCAGAATCTTAAACCATGGAATCAGTGCTGTAAAGGTATAAATTACAAACATAGCACATACATTAATTTTTATTTCTTGGATTGATAAATAATTTTAAATTTTTTGGGGATAAAACTATGAAGTACTTTTTGTTTATTAAATACTGCTCCACTAATAACAATTAAATAATATTGTATCACATGTAATCATCTATGATTTTTAGGAGGTTGGTTCCAAACCTTTCCATAATAAAAATAATTGCCATGAGTGCTTGAGTTAGGCCATGAAAAAGTGGCCTGACAAATTATGTTCACAAAACATGAGGCTGAAAATCAGGTTATTAGCAAAATGGCCTGATGATAATATGGACTGCCCTCCATCCACTTCATGATTCCCTCACTTGAATATTTTACATTCTCTGTTATCAATTTGAGATTGAGAACAATCATAACATCCTGACAATTAAAATTTTATAAATAATAATAATAACACTAAAATATTTTTAATAAATTAATACACCAAAAAGCCTTATTAGGAGTTTTTTTGAACAATTTCGCGTATTTCAAGTGCAAAAACATCTTAATTTCCAGCCGATGAAATTCTGAATGGCAACTTTTAATTTCACAGCTCGCAAGTCACTTTCCCAGGTCATATTCAGATATTGCTAAGTTTTGTACACAATACTCTGAAGTCTCGACGCAGACTTAGCAATTAAAGCTTCAGGGTTATGACAGCTATCGGAAATTTGTGGGAATGAACAGCCTGAAAGATATTTATGGCAATTAATCTTGAAACAAACTGGTGCCAGTTAAGACTAAGGCTGTTCCAGAGTTGATCCTGATAGCGAAATTTCGATTCAAAGGATCTGGTAAAGCTTGAACTTTCAGGGAAAATGGTTAGCACAGTAAAACGTCCCCTCTAACTTTTCTACAAACATTCCCATTCCTGTCATTAAACTTCAATACTCTATTGATGTTACAATTGCTTCAACATTAAACTTCAATCCAACACATACCTGGACAGTCCTCATCCAAGGCAACCTGCACAATTTTTCTCCTCTTTCAGGCAGGTCTTAGCTGCAACCTTTGCTGAGTCTGTGCATGAGCCAATAATGGATCTACCAGCTCATGTTGAGATCTGCAAGAAAGAGAAATTTGCTTGCACAAACACAGAGTCAGAGTCAGAGTTAAGGTTGCCTCTGTTACATTTTACTGAAAAACTAACCAGGCATATATTTGAAGCTCCCTGGAAAAGAATTGCAATATCCAACCTTTCTTCCCAATTCAATAACAGTAAAAGTTCAGAGGGAAATCAATCATCTCCAATATGATTGCTCAGAATTATGTCTTTCACAAACCACACATTCTTTATGGAGTCAGGATGGACAAAATTTCCTAGTGCTTCATAGAAAACTTCAAAATCAAGAACAAATGACACACAACCACAAGCTAGCTTTGTATAAGCAGGGAAGAAAGAAAATAGACCACCTCTCTGTCACAAGCAAATGCATGCTGGACTAGAATACCTGCAGATTAGGGATTGGGATATTGCAGCAGAAACTCCATCTCCAGAATTACAATTCCTTAAGAGTCATGATGCATTAAATCCAAAGTAAAACTTTTGTATGCACTGCTTCTAATTGCTTACTAAAACCATAAAAAGAAAATAAGGAAGACAAAAAATTAACCCTAATGAACTTGACCTTTACAACCAGGGAGGACGCAGATGCTTATTTTGCTTAGACGGTTAGACACATTCCAAGAATTTCCTATCTAAGAAAAAGTCAAGAGAAAAAAAAAAAAATGGCAGAGATAATTGCAGTAGCAAACAATTTATGTAAACAACAGCTTGGATTGAAACGGAAACTATCTACACTGGCATTCCAGCAGAATAAGAATCAAAACAAAATTGAGAAAGCTATCAAAAGCCTGCAACTCAGCAAACAGAATGGAAAGTACCATTGTCCTGTGAAACCTTGATATGGATCTTTTCACATCATCTGGTGGCTACAACTTTCTTGAAAGAGGAACAAATAATATTACTTCCTTATCCTAACAAGCAATTTGTTATAACACCATAGCCCAGAAAAAAGCACCAAAAAGTCTAAAACAGTCGGCTCTTTCAGCACAAATAATATATGTACCAATGATAAATAGACAAAATCTTGAACATGAAATCAGCTACAACACTAAGATGCAATTTACTCAGAAATTTGATTATACAATAACCACACAATGCTGGAAATCAGCAACTAGGACCAAAAAGGTCCAACTTCATATCCTGCTATCTTTATACAATATATGGTAATAAATACAAGAAAATTTCTCTTCCTTACCCTTTTATTTTGGGAGTATGCTTCAAATCACTCTACTTTCTTAACTCCACAGCTTCATCCTCTTTTCTTCTTCTTCTTCTTCTTCTTCTTCTTCTTCTTCTTCTTCTTTTTCTTCTTTTCATCTTCTATTTCATCTTCTATCTTCCTCAAAATCCCAGAAGCCAAAATCAACAAACATTTGAAAGTCTGACGTTTGACACCATGATAACACACAAGCAAGAGACTTTTTACTCCGGATTGTGTCCCCTTCCCAATGAGTCAAGCCCTTCAGTTCGGCCCCGCACAATCCTATGAAAAACCTCCCTAACTTGCCTTTCCAATGGATCTAAACCCTCCTTTATGGTCTCACACACCTGTGCCAACTCCTTCACTCTCTGCCTTACCTCTACCTCCTTCTCCTCTGTTAGGGGGAATTGCACTGAATCAGCCAATTCACTCAGCAATCGCGAACACTTCTCCATCTGATAAATTTCCTTCAACAAGCCACAAGCATTCTTCCTCTCTCGTTTCTTTGACTCCTCCAAAATCCTCTCGTGCAGAGTATTCAACGGCGCTGCCCATGCAAAATGCCTAGGAATATTGAAATGAACCTGCAAACCACGGTCCTGGCATGGAATTGCTGCCACCAGAGTCCACATTACAAACAACAAAACGGAACCCATGGTATAAACAGGGACAGCAAACCCATTCGAGGCGACAATGTCATTTGTTCGCGGTGCAGCCAGGTTGCTCCCAATGGATTGGAGCTGCCTAGCAGCAGACCATGACCTCGAAACGCTCCATGACAACGATCTAAAATGTCCGACGGAGCGATGATGGTGATCCTTGTTGCGACCAAAGGAACGATTCCTGTTAGCCAAAGTCTGGCCAGAATCCTTGTCGTCAAGCATCCCAATAGCCAAGTCCACGAGTGCCTTTTTTGCCCTGCGAAACTGCCCTTCACCTAGGGCCCTTTGATTTTTATTATCCAGAGCACAAAGCACAATCTCAAGCAGCTTCTCCCATTGCCTGATCTGCTCGATTCCATCGCGGATAGCATTGCAAACATCCAGCGCCTTGACGCTACGCTCATTGAAGTCCGCAATCAACCTGTCCATTGGAGGTCTCAACAACTGAGATTTGTTGTAGAGAAGGACCCTGAATTCCTCCTGGCAGGAAAGGAATGAATCAAGCAATTTCCGAATCCAGGAGAGTGAAAGGAGTTCATCATTCGCCGACGCCGACGCCGCCGCCGCCAACAAACTCTGAAACATGTCAGCAACCTGCTTCTGAAAGGCTTCCAGCTCAACTTCATGTCCAGCTCCGTCGTGACTTCCTTCCATCGAGTGAACGTGGACCTGATCTCGTCGCAGACTCATGATAGAACGCCCAATATTCGCGAACGGCGCCGATGACGTCCCTTGGTAATCCGTCGCGGGCATATTCAAGATCCCCTATCCAGGGCAACAAATCCAATAACAGATCAATCCCCGATTTTCAATCGAATTAGATCCACAAACAGTCGACGGAAACTCCGGGCCGGAGTCGGGGAGAATGAATCGGAGAAAGAATCGGACAAATGCAGGAGAAAGGGGAGAGAATGGACAAACCCTAAAATGAAACGGGCGCATTTTATTTGTGATTTTTGGACCGGGTTTTATGGTAGTGTTTGGGAAAAAGAGAAAATGTCGTAATTAAACCGATTGTTA